GCAGCACTATTTACAATAGCCAAAACATGGAAACAGCCTAAATATCCATCAACAGGTGACTGGATAAAGAAGATGTGGTATATTTATACAATGGAATACTACTCAGCCATAAAAACCGACAACATAATGCCATTTGCAGCAACATGGATGCTCCTGGAGAATGTCATTCTAAGTGAAGTAAGCCAGAAAGAGAAAGAAAAATACCATATGAGATCGCTCATATGTGGAATCTAAAACAAACAAAAACAAAAACAAACAAACAAACAAAAACAAAGTGTAAATACAGGACAGAAATAGACTCATAGACAGAGAATACAGACTTGTGGTTGCCAGGGGGGCGGAGGGTGGGAAGGGATAGACTGGGATTTCAAAATTGTAGAATAGATAAACAAGATTATACTGTATAGCACAGGGAAATATACACAAAATGTTATGGTAGCTCACAGAGAAAAAAATGTGACAATGAGTGTGTATATGTCCATGTATGACTGAAAAATTGTGCTGAACACTGGAATTTGACACAACATTGTAAAATGATTATAAATCAATAAAAAATGTTAAAAAAAAAAAAAAAAAGAAGCAGGCACAAAGGTAAGGTTACCTGGGGCACATTTTGAAGCACAGCAGCTGCATCTGAAGTGAAGTTCCTGCCTAGCACTGAGGATATCCTGACTGAAAAATGGAAAATGTGGGAACCAGCTGAACCACGACAAATTCCTAGGTGGCACAGACTTCCGTGATGAGAATACCATAGTTAGTAACACTGCCTGAAAACATGAGTGTTATCTACATGAGCCTGAGGAAATGAATGCTAACTGCTTGTCCTTTCTCATTCTCTCTTCAGGTTATTGGTTCAGTTGGATGAAACAGACAAGGCTTTTTGTCAGTTTTGGTCTGAGCATCACCTGAAACTTAACCAATGCCTACAACTACAGCACTTTGAACACAACTTTTTTGAGGTGTTATTTTCTTGTTTAATAGAACTTCCTTTTATGGTTCAGTGACTTCTGGTTCTCTTTTCCCTCTTGAACTCCCTAGTCCAGCTCCCTTTTTATACCTTTGATTCCTCTTCTCACTGTTTCAGTGGGGTAGCAATGTTCTAGAATCCTGTTTTCCTTTTGGCATATTTCAGTAATGGTTTACCTTCCTTTTTGATCAATGAGCTGTTCAGTGTAGTTTTAATAGTCCATCTGCATGTGTCTGAGCACCCCAGCTTAATCTGAAAGCTAATGAGTTGTATTTAAAAAAAAATTTATGTAGATATGCACATGTCCTGAATCCTTTATGGATTTTCGAGTTGTCTGGAGTATAACAAACTGAACCGCCTGATGAGTGCTCATTGGCTTATTTCTGGACTTTTCTAATGTGTCTTATAGGTTAAGCTTACCCTGAAAAACTTGTTGGCAGAGCAAGCAGAGTTTACAGACATCGGAGACAGTGTGATGCGTGTGGAGCAACTTCTTAAGGAATACAAAAAACTGGAAGGAGAAGGCCAGGTTTGGCTTTTTGCTGTTTTTGTGGACTGGGAGGGAAATCACTGTGAATGGTGACAGATCATGGTTACTCATTATTGTTAGTAGGTTACCGAAAGACATGGGAATGCCCAAATCCTGCCTTTTTAGTCACCCCACTGTCACTCCAGGTCCCCAAGGAGATGTGCACGTTCGCAGCTATGAGGAGCAATGCGGACAGTGCAGAGCTCTGTTAAGACTGCTGGAGCCCCCATCTGAGGCTGGAGGAGTAGAGGGGATAGTGAGAGTTTCGGGTGGCCCTGCCCACTCGTGGGGTGGCAGCACTAGTGAAGGAGTGGCAGGAAATAAGGTTACAATGGGTGCATTACCCACTGGGCCGGATATGGGGGAGGGGTTTGGTAGTAAGGAGGGGAAACTTTGAAAGGGGAAACCAGAAAAAATACCTAGCTTTATAATAAGCAAGACTGTGAAAAAGGGGAAATTGGCCCACATTAATTTAATTTAAATGAAACAGTTTCCCAGATCTGTACACAAATCAGCACTTAAGAGTGAGCCAATTTAAATCCTTACAAATCTGGCTTATTACAAATTAAGAAAGCCCAGTCATCTCTTTCCAGAGAAATTCCTTTCTGCTTTTCTTTAATTAGGTTCTCTATATTTTTGTCTCTTGGGAATGAAGTCCTCTGTGGTTATCACTTCATTTCTGAGTTAATATGGAGACGTATTTCCCCAAAGGTAATTTTGTAGTGCTAGAGATTTGCTTCTCAAAGTGTGATCCTCTGGCCAGCAGTGCAGATGTCACTTGAGTGAGAACTTATTAGAAATATGGAGAAATCTCAGGCCCCATCTTGGAATCAGAATCTGCATTTTAATAAGATTCCCAGGTGTTTGACATGCACATCGTATTTAGAGGCGTCCTTCCCCAGAGAACAGTAACAGATGTAAACCAAGGCCACTCTGGCTTTGAGAGTTGTCAGTTATGGATTGAGAGCTGGAGGTGCTTTTGCACACATGTGAACGCACAGACTCACCTGTGCACCCAGTGAGAACTCTTTCTGTTATCAATAATTGTTGACAGCTAAACACTTTAGTACTGAAGGCATGAGTCATCAGAAATGTTTACTAAACAATGAAAAAAAGTGAGTTTGCTGTATCTGATAACTATGTCTCAAATTCTCCAAGATAGTCCCAATTTTATGTAATTTTAGGTTTTTTTCAAGTGAACTCCTTATTAAATGTAGATACTATATATTTTCACTTACATACTTTCATATTTTAGGGGAAAATGCCTCATTAAGCCCAGTGCCTTTATTTTTGGTTTGAAAATTTTGGTCATAATATATATGTATATCATGAAGGTAGCTACTGGCCTAGCAGGAAAGTGTTCTCTCTTCACCGGGTGTTCCTACAGAGGTTACATTCTACTGGGGAGAGACAGACAAGTGAAAAGTAATCAAATTTACGATCATATCAGAGTGTGACAAGTGGAGTGAAGAAAATAAGAGGGTTTAACAGAGTGACTGGGGGTGCTGCTGTAGTAGAGTAGTTACAAAAGGCCTCTCTGAGAAAGTGACCTTTGATCTGAGATCTGGATAGCCATGCAAAGATTTAGGGAATAGCAGTCAAGGCAGAGAAGTTGCAGGCAGAAAGGTCTTGAGGTAGGAATGAGGGTGGGAGTCCAAGGAATGTGGCTGGAACCTACTGAGCAGGGAGCAATGGCGGTGAGGACTGAATTTTATTCTCAGTGGAATGGGAAAACATTGGACGGTGCTCTGAGTTGTGTTTTAGATACTGGAGGTGGATCTGCATGACTGCATCCACATTCTCTCTTCTGCTCACCTCCTTGGACTTGTCATCTTTCGTACATACTTTAAAAATCACTGGCCAGGGGTAAGAGTGAAACCTGTGGTCATAGGACATAGAAATGTTCTGTGAACCATGACCCACCCTTCACAGGCAGCATTCCTAAACCAGCTGGGCTAACCCACTGCAGACGACCCACAGAGCCCAGGCAGATTGGTCTTACCCGTTCTGTGCCTTGCTTACCCTGTTTTTTACTTCTTTTCTCAAGGATGCAGAAGACCTACTCCTCTGCCTTTGAGTGAACCAAGCAAAGCTATCTTAGTATAACTGGGATTTTTTTAAACATATCTTCACTCAGATTTCTAAGAGGCATTGCTTCTTCAAGTGATAAGGGCTTGACTAGTCTTTCCATTTTGTCCTGTGAAGTGTTAAAGGGAAAAAGTGATGTTTGGGTAGAATCCACCAAAACCTGCTTCAGGTTTGACCTTCACTCAGTACCCAGGGATCAGCTTCCTTTTCAGCACAGCCACACACTGATTCCTGGGTTGTTGCCGACTTCCTTACTCTGTGCAGTGGTGTCATCCTCATGGTTAACCTCTGAGCCAACTCACTAACCAGACTCCTCTTGCATACTAATTGAGCCTGTTCATTTATCCTGTTCTGATTTGAGGGTTTAGCAGTGTTTTGAGTGCTCACCTCTAATTCTGAGAAACAATGGTCTCAGTCCCCCTCTCACTTCTTTAAAAGCAGAATTTGCCATAGAGTTTTGTCTGTGAGGCACGCTTGGGACTTTGGTGAGGGGCCAGCAAGGAACAGATCAAGACAGGACAAGGAGAACCAACCCTTTTACAACCTTGACATCTCCCTGCAAGGCCAGGGGCCAGCAGTTACACTAGTGTGTCCATGAAGGCGTGGAACCCAGATCATTAACTTCCTAGGGCTGTAATGTAGCTGGAGGGGCATGGCTTTTTTTTTAATGGAAATTTTCAAACACACACAAAAGTAGATTGGCTAATATATGGAACTCCCAGGTGTATACGGCTCCATTTCAACTACCATGAACTCTCTGCCTTTCCTGTTTCATCCGGCCCACTTCCTCATGCATGCATCCCATTCCTATGCCATTATCTGTGGGTCTGTCCTGGGTTCCCCGATCCAGTAGTATCACCGCCTTTTCACCATTTTCTTCCACAGTAGTCATTTCCATCTTTCATCTATTACAGCAGTAGAGTCGTTGTTGGGAGGGGGGAATAAGCTGTTATTACAATACGGATTTCTGAATTACTTGCTCCAACTTGACTATCCAGACTTTTGGTATTTTCAGCATCTGAAAGATGCCCTGGCAGACTTATAGTCAGAGCACCTGATTTCAGTCATTCCTTTTTCATTATTTCTTTTTCAGTTTGTTGCCTGATTATCTTGAGCAGAAGCTTCATAGACTGAAAAATAAACTGCAGTTGGAAGGTTTTATAGCAAAGTTCTTTGCAGGCACCTGAAGGATCTGATATTCAGGGCTGTGCAGCCATTATTCTAGCACATGTGGGGAGGCCAAGTGGTCTGGAAAGTGGCAAGACACAGGCTTTGGTGTCAGGCAGAATCGAATTCAAATTTCGGCTCTAACAACTACCAGCTGTGTGATCCTAGTCAAGTTTCTTAGACATCCCCTCATCTGTAAAATGGTTGCTAATAATTCCTCCCTCACAGGGTCCCTGGGAAGATGAAATCAGTTAGATGTGTAGTAAGGACTCAGTGAGCGCCTGGAACGTTAGCAGGTGGTCAGCGCTTGGAAGCTATTATTATCCATTCATTTCAGTAGAGCGGTCTTCCATCCAGTGGTGGCTCCCATGTTATTTATGGATCTCTTTCCACAATCCATTCAGACATGTTACTCACATCTTTCCTCCAACATCTCACGCATTTTAAGAACAGTTCTAAAGAGCGATATGCCGCTTGCCAAATGCAGGACAGTCTGTGACCGCCACCTGAAGAACAGCCTTGGTGAAGTTCCCTTGGCCCAGAAGACTTGTGCTATTCTTAATAAATTAGGCAGCTGGACTTAAAAAAAAAAAAAAGAGTCAACAGAGACTTCCTGGCCAAGTTTTCATGCTTCTATATTTGACTAAAGTCAGACAGGTTCAGTCAACCAAATGAGGTCTCTAAGCTCAGGCAGTTCAACGCAGCCGTTTTTTTTCTGTGTGTGTGTTGGTTGGTTGGGGCCACATTCTGGAGCCAGACTGCTTGAGCTTGAAGCCTGGCGCTTCTCTTTCCTGCCCGGGTCACCTTGGGCCATCGTGTCTCCACTCCTCTTTTGTAAAACAGCGCCTGCATTAAAGGGTTGTAAAGGGTGAAAGGAATAACCAGTGTAAGTGTTCAGAAGAGTGCCTGGCATATAATCAGCTCTCAGTTCTCGGTGAATGTTAGCTGCTTTGTTAATATCAGAGGTAGTGAGGTAGATTCTGGGCTGCAGAATGTTTCCTCAGTTCAACCGCAGTGGCTGAGCAGTTCTAGCAAGAGTGTCTCACCCATCCTTTATTCATTCTGCAAATATTTATTGATCTCCTAATTCCAAGGAATTAGCATTGTAACCTCCTTTGGGCAATGGTGACCTGTGAGTCTGGGCCTTTGCTATTTAGAACAAATGCACTGGATACTTATTCCTGAGTTATTTTAAATAGCCGCTGCTTGATTCGTGCCACTTTGTTCCCATATCATTATTCCTTTTTTAGTTTCGCACAACAGTCATTTATTCTTAAGTACCAAATATGTGCTGTATACTGCTAAAGTTGAATACAAGCTGGCTCATGCCCACAAGAGTCTGTGGTGTAGTGTGGGCCATAGATAACTGACCGCAGCACAGTCAAGTTCATGCTCTGATCAGGAAAGGCATAGACTGCTATGGGAGCACAGAGAAGGGTCATCAGAATAAAGTGGGGGAGTCAGAGGAAATTTCCTGGAGAAGATGAACTCTGAAGTGTGATTTGGAGTTAGCTCTGGAGATGTGTGGGTACATCAGGGGTGAAGGATGAGGAAGCAGGGGCTATGAGGGAAGGGTGGGGCTTTCTACACAGAGAAAGCAATTAGAGAAGGCATGGAGGCCAGAAGCTGCCTGAATATTTGAGGAATGAGTCATTAGTCCAGTTACAGTGGAGGACGAGGGTGACAGAAGTGAAGGAGGAGGAGGCACAGGTATGACCTAGAGAATGAAAGGCCTCCCGTGCATTGCTCAGGAGTTTGAACTTTCTCCTGAAGACAACAGGGAGCCAGGAGAGGGTATGAGACCCGGGAGTGATGTAGACACGATAAGACGTTGTGATGGAGATGCTGCTGTGTCAGCAGTGTGGCGTGTGATTGGAAAGAGAGCCTGAAGGAAATCAAAGAGGTGACTGTCACAGTCAGAAAGCCCCAAGGTCTGAACACACAGTGACAAGGAGGTGGGAGGGAAGGGCGCAGAGTTCAAAAGGTATTAAGAAAGGGGTGTGCTCTGTGGGGCTTGGTGAATGACTAGCTGGGTAGGGCGCAGGGGTTTTGAAATTGTTGAAACCATAAACCACTATAAACTAAGAGAGGGGCACACTGTCATCACCCAGAATCCTCATGACTCTCTGTGTTGCTACAAAAAGCTAAACCAGGACAAATGTAGCGTCCTGGATGCTCAGTGTGGTCAGCGAGGGTGTGTGTGGGCTTTCCATTCTGGAGGCCTTTGGGGACTTGGTTGATTCAGGTCAGTGTTCTTCACACAATTCCAACCAAGCAGCCTCCCCTAGTTCACTGGTTCATTCATTCCTTTATTTTATTGACCAAATATTTATGGGATGCCTACTAAGTGTTCTCATGGAGTTTAAATATTGGTGGGAGTGGGTGGAAGAAGGAGGAATCATACACTAAAGAAAAGAACCATTTAGGCATGGTGAGCCATTCTGATTAGGGATAGGTGGGGTGGGAACCCTCCTGACAGTCCAGAGGCCGGTCACGGGCCAGCCTTGCAGGCAGGCCTTTCTAAGGACAGCAGTCTCAGGCTGCTGTGTTAACTCTTCTGCGCAGCTCGGCTAGCGCCTTTTCAGTGAGCCCTTCCCTCACCATCCTATTTACAATAGCAACTCCTCCTCTCCCTGTTTGATTTTCTCCATAGCACTCATCACTATCTAAGGAATTATATTATCTACATATTTGTTATTGTCTGTGTCTCCTACTAAAATATAGGGTTCATGAGGGCAGGGATTTTTGCATGCTATGTTTACCACCAAACCCCCAGCACCTGGACAGAGCTTGGCACATGGTAGGTCCTCAGTAATACATAGTGAATGAATTAAAAACAGAAAAAAACACGGTACATGTGATTAGGACAAAGTGAGCCATGCAGAAAGAGGTAGGAGATGCGGTTGCTGAACAGATGAGGTCAGAGCGAACAGGGACCTTGTGGGTTACAGGAAAGGCTATAGAAAAACATATTTCTCATGATCCCCCATAGGGTTGCCCACAAAAGATCTTTACCATTTTTGCAATCTCAGCTCACTCCCCACCTTCCTCGAGGCCATGTGTCTGTCCCTTTTCCTTTTCCGTTTAGTTGACAAGAGAATTCAGAGTCTCCAGTTCTGTGCAATATAACACTTCATGCTTTTCTGCCCTAGAACTTACCACATTTGTAATAATCTAATTACTTGTATAACTTATTTAATATGTGAGTTCTCCGTTGGATTGAAAATTCTTGGCTTGTTAACACTATACCCTCAAAGCCTACCCCAGAACTCAACAAATATTTGAAAGATTGACTCTCTCTCCTTCAAATTGCAGATTACCCTGAACTAGGTGAGACGTCCTGGGGACCTTGAACCACCCCAGCACTTTCCCAGGTTCCCTGCCCCAGGCTCTCGGCCTAAGACCTGACAAGCATCTCCCTAGCCTCCCTCCAGGTTTGGAGCACACAGTGCCAGGGAAATACCAGCCTCTCCATGACCTGGCTTCTGATGCTTGACTGTGAACGTTCACCTCACAGGAGCCTTTGGAAAAGGCCCAGCTGCTTGCAGTAATTGGGGACCAGCTCATCCAAAGCCACCACTATGCAATGGACTCCATCAGACCCAGGTGCACAGAGCTCAGGCACCTCTGTGATGACTTCATCAATGAAAACAAGAAAAAACATGAGATTTTAGAAAAGTCCTTGGAATTACATAGACAGCTGGACAAGGTGAGCAAAACAAAGCCGTGACCATGATGTGTGTAAAATTTTCTGAAGAATGGTCTTAATCGTACTTGTCCACCCTGCCTCACATGATTGCTGAGAGGATGAAGTCTTTCATGTGAAACAATTCTCAAGAGGCATTAAAAACTGCAGATTCTAGGTCATGAAAGTACTGAAGGTCAAAAATGCCCCAGCCATCCCACCACATCTCATTAGAATGAACTAAAGTTCATTTCCTCTGTGTGGACTCAGACTTACAGAGTGTGTTTTGGCCTGGCCCTGCGGGACATTTCTTGAGAAAGATCTTAATGAGAAAGATCTTAATGGCCTCATCTTACAGAGGCAGAAACTGATATTCAGCATGGTTAAGTCAATGGGTCCCAACATTTGGTACATGAGGTGAGCTTGCTATAATTGCAGATTTCCTGATGTACCACACTGGAGACTCTGATTCACTAAGTTTGGATGATACCCAGAAATCAGTATTTTCATCATTACCCAGGTGATTTGGTGTAGGTGGTACGTGGACAACACTGAGAAACCCTGGGATAAGATATTGCCCAAGACCACATGTAGGGTAAATAGGGGATCACAGACTTGAAGTCAGGACTGCCAAATTACAGCCGCCGGGCCCCTTAGACTAGACAGCAAGGCTGTATGCAGAGCCCTCACAGGAAGGGGACGCGGACCCTGGTGCCCTTCAGCAGTGATTTCTGAGTCCAGGGCCTGGTCAGCAGGCCTGTGACTTCTGGAGTCATCCCTGTCAGCTGTTCCCAGGCAACACAGAGCTCACTGCCATGAGTCAGCACACTCCATAACCACAGTTGTTTCTCTGTGATGGCGCGGGCACCCACCCAGGCTGTTTACATCATCCCATTGCCAAAGGGATTTTAGTGTCAATGAAATACAGCTGTTCCAGAAGCAAGTGGCTCAGAAGGGCCTGGTGCACAGCTTGCTCTGTGTGCTGAGCTCTCTGCAGGATTGGCTGCTGTTTTCCTTATTCAATTTCTGCTCTAGAGATAATAGCTTAAAGCTGGTGTGTGTGTGTGTGTGTGCGCGTGTGTGTGTCTGTGTATCTGTGTGTGTCTGTGTCTGTGTATATGTGTGTGTCGGAGAGCAAGTAGCTGCTGTGACCCTACAGAAGACCCCAGTTTAGTGTTTTCTGCAGATCTAGGCTTGATGTTTAAAGAGTACATTTTCACAGTATATATCAAAGCATAATTTCATCTGTTTTTGGATTTTCAAAAACATAGGAAGGAGGAGGAAAAAAGTTACTCATGGATACCTTCCTGCATACTACCCCCCTCCTCAGCCCTACACAATAGGAATCATAAGTTTTTAAATATCTTTATTATTTTCTGTTATTCTAAAAGTAGTATACATCCAGTGTAGGTAATTTAGGGGAAAATTACAGGCAAATTTAAGTTGCCTGTAATTTTCCTACTTAGACATAACACCTTTGGAGAGCTCCCTTTTTGCTTTTTTCTCCTCATAGTTCTTTTACAGAGCTCTCAGGTCATGTGTAAATGGCAATGCAGATGTACTTGCACTGGCAGCTTCTTTTCATGTAAATATTCAGACAGCACAAGGACCCTTGTCTTTCTGTTTAAGTTTTTAAAAAGTTGAATTGTTAGAATTCATCACCTATCTGTTTTCATTCCAATGTTCTGGAAAATTTGGGTATTGCTGTTCTGAGTTACAAAGCTTTGCATTCTTAGATGCTTCCCTTGAAAAGACAAATGCTAAATAATGCAAATGTGGACAGAGGAAAAGTGGTGTGTTTGTTAAGAGACATTCCCTCTCCCAGGAAGACCCCACATAGGAGCCAGGTCTAAAGCCTTATTATGCACCCTGTGCTTTTGTAACCAATTAGGATACAAGACAAGTGGTCTAAAAGGTAAACCCAAAAAGCCATCAGTTTCATTTGTCTAAGATTAGACCAAAGGTAGAAATACACAACTCTTTCCTTTGAACATGTGGCAATTACTGTCAGTGGGGAAAAAAAAAAAGAATGGTCATACGATTCATTTTTTGAATGGGTGGCTTCCCTGAGAAGTGTACAGATGTAAAATCGGTTTGGGCTTGTGTAGCTTATGGTTGTATTTACAGTGGTTGGACCTCTAAACTTGATACTATCACATGACAATTTCCCATTTTCTCAGAATCCTCGTAGACCCTATATGAGCTCAGACCTCTTGAGGATTGTAGTGGCTGAGTTGTGGGCTGGCTAACTGCACAGGGTACTATGTTTCCTTCCCAAAGGTCAGCCAGTGGTGTGATGCGGGAATCTACCTCTTGGCTTCTCAAGCTGTAGACAAGTGCCAGTCCCGAGAAGGAGTTGACATTGCCTTGAACGACATTGAGACATTCCTGGACACAGCAAAAGAGTACCAGTTACCCAGCCCCAAGGAGTTTTACAGCCAGTTTGAGCTGATCCTCACCCTTGATATGAAGGTAATGTTTCTGGGTTATTTTGATCATGTGGTTGGGAAAGGCATGTAGGGAGACTTTGCCTGTTGCCTGAGAAAGTCCATGTAGGATGTGCTGAGCGGGTTAACCAGTTCTTGAATCCTCAGGTGGCCTCTTAGACTCCTGGTTTGTGCCTCCTAGCAAACTGACCCTTCATGGTCTGACTCAAATACCACCTTCAGTCATTCATTTCTCTACGAGTACCTACGAGCATCTTTGATGTATCACACACTGTGCTGAATGCTGAGGACACAATTATGAGCAAAAATAGATGTAGTTTCATCCTTCATGGAACTTACAGTTTATGTATGGGAGAGACTGACATTAGTAAACATCAAACACAAAGCACAAATATGTGTTGCAAGCTGAGATAGGTACTCTGGAGGATGGATTCAGGGTCCTATTGGGCATGTGACAGGGGAACTTGACCTGGACTGGGGAGTCAGGGAGGTCCCCTGGGAAGCACCACTTGAGCCAAGGCCTGGAAAATGAGTAGAGAAGATGGGAGAGCCTTTCTGGAGAAAAGGAACAGCATGTACAAGGCTGCAGGGCTAGAAGAGACTGGCACAAGTGCAGAACCCAAAAACCGGGGTGGCTGGAGTACAGAGAACAAGGAAAGAGTGTCTGGGGTGAGATCAGAGAGGGGCAGATGAGATGGGGCTCTGTGGGCCATATGAATGAGTTTGGTCTTTATTCTAAGAGCCACTGAAGGGTTTAAGCAGGGGCATAACTTGATTAGATTCGCATTTTGAGAGGAACATTCTTCTGTTAAGCCAGCAGTTACAGACAGCAAACCTTCCTCTCAGATCCACATGACCTTGTATTTACTTCTGCTGGAGGGGCTTTTTTTTATGTCTTTTGAGCATCTGGTTCATGTATTTTCAGGGTTCTACACACTCAAAATGATTGAATAGAGTTTGGTGTAGGCACTGTGTACAAAGAGATGGGCAGAACTTAGGGAACCCGATATGGATAGTGAAGCACCCTGGGCTATCAAGAAGCAGGGAGCAGTTACCATCCCTAAACCTGAAAGACAAAGGGGAACCCAGGAAGCATTACAGCTATGACTGTAAGAGCTGTGGCCTTGAGCAGAGGAATGCAGTCACTGGGGAAGAAATATATACCCCTACTTTTCTCCCTCCCTCTCTCAGATTTCCTGGTAGTGTGTCCCATTGGCCAAATCCAACTGAAGACCATGGGCATCTAGTGAGCCCATCTGATGGAGTCGTAGAGGTCAGCTTCCTGGGACACAGAGCAATATATGGAAGATGTAATGTGGGATCAAACAGAATACCCAGCACATATAGCTTTTTGAATTAAATTTAGGGGACACCTCGAAGTCCATCCAGGGATTCAGGCTAAGAATCTTGCTCTAAAATGATACATAGCCCACTGTATTCTAGTTACTTATTTTTAATGTCTGTCTTGTTTATTACACTGGGAGCTGCAGTGAGTCAAGAGCCTCATCCATCTCTGTGTCCCTGTGCCTAGCCTGTGCCTGGTTGCCAATCCATGTTTGTTGAACAAATGGGTGGACAGGAGGCAGAGTGGGCTGAGTGCCATGGAGGCAGCTTGGTATGGGGTTGTACCTTAAAAGTAATGTTCTTTCCCTGACTCCTCCCAGTGAGTTTTGGTGGTAAGGTGTGATCTTGAGGTGGTGTGTGTGTTTGTTGCGGGGAGGGGGGCGGTGGTTAGGCAATTTACCTTCCCCCAATACAACGACCCTTTACTTCCCAAAGAGAAGGCTCACCTAGTGTTAGTACTACATTGTAGAACCAGAATCAGTAGCCCCAGTTCATATTCCTAAGGCAGAAATATCCCACTCAGCTCCACGACCATTAGCTTCTCAAATAAGTGTATCAGGTCAACCAGGGAGACTTGTAGCCACAGCTGCCATTCTGACCAATGTCAGGAAACTTCATGACCACACCACCCACTAGGAAATGAATAAAATTTAACCAGTCACCCCTGGGAAACAGGCAGAAACATGGAGGGAAGAGAAGACCAGAAGGAAAAAAAATTTAATCCAAAATGGACCAAATAAAAAAAAATCCCCAAAGCCCATCGTTTCTTCTTTTGGTTTAGAGTAAAATTCTAGGTTATAATATTGAAATATCTTGTTGTGTCAGGGGGCTTTGTTCACTGAGGAGTAATGACTTGATTATCAAAACAAATAATCTATACATATAAAAATTATCCTACTTATATGCATATACATTAGTTGGTTTAAACATATGTATCTCCTTCCTTGGGTACTTGAGAGGGCCCGGAAACAATGAGACCCCCATTATCAATGAGCACACCTACCACCGAGATCTTGGTTTCTAAAACTATTCTCCAGTAAAAGAAAGCTGGGCTCCTTAGAGAAATGGCTGATTCTAGGACTGGACCAGGAAATATACAAAATAATTGTAGAACAGGAGATCAAAATATTGGAGTAGGAGGATGCCAAGCTCACCTCCCCACACAAACACATCAAAAATATATCCACATGTGGAGCAATTCTCACTAAAAAACAAATTGGAGATTGGCAGAAAGACTCTTCTGTGACCAAAGCTGTAAGAAATATCCACATGGAGTTGGGCAGGAAGGAAAGAGAAATGATCAGGTTGGGGCCACACCTCTAGGAGGGGACATAGCAGAGGAGAGGGATTACACAGGCTCAGAGAACCTCTCTAGGGAGTGAGCTGTTTGAACCACATATAGCAGATCTCAGTCCTGGGGTCTAACACAGGGAGGATGCCTCCCTTAGCTGGTTTGAAAATTAGTGGGCTGGCAGTGGGGCTGTAAGAAACCTAGACTCTGCTAGTGAAGAGTGGACACATGCTTGTTTACTTCTGAAACAATGCAGAAGAAGCAGGTTGAAACTTCCCAGGGCTCTGGCTTGTTTCCCACAACTGCCCCAGCATGCACCTCATTCCAAGCCAAGCACTTGCTCTGGCCCCATTTCCTCTGTGGTTCAGCTCCACACCAGGGTGAGAGCTGCTGTGGCTGAGGGGAAGACACACCTGTTGGGGACTAAGCTGGTTTGGACTCAGCACAGCATCTGAATCGGACAGGGGTGGCCATTATTGGTATTCACAGAGACAGCAGATTGGGTGCTGTCTGGAACTATGACTGGTACTGGAACTGCCACAGCCCATACTCCCCCATGCCAGGCACCTTCTCCAGCCTCTCTTGCTGCAGTGCTGCTCTCCTCAGGGGCAAATGTACCAATACTAGGAAAGGGGAAAGCACACACTTAGAGGGAATAGAGCCAGTTTGGACCCAACCCTCAGGGTTTCTGTTCCAGCAACTTAGGACCCACTCCTGCCCCCAACAGGGGGTGGTATTGGCCACTGAGCAGAGGAAAAGCTCTGGTTCACACCTGGCTCTGGCTCTAGCCCCTCCATCTCCAGCTCCACCTCCTATCAAGGAGCTAGCTGCCAGCCCACCCTGGGGAAAGACAACCCATGTTCACTTCAGATCTGGGTCATCCACCAAAGCCCCTGGGCACCCACAGACTGTATAGGGATGCTTCCACACAAGGATATCCCTTCAAGCCTGGCATAGGTTACTGTTTCACCTAATTTCATAGAGACAGAGAAAGTTAAGAAAAATGTGAAGGCAGAGGATTTGTTTCAGATGAAAGAACAAGAGAAAACCCCTAGAAAAACAACTGATAAAGAAATAACTTATCAGATAAAAAGTTCAAAGCATTAGTAATAAGAATGCTAACTGAACTAGGGAAAAGAATAGATGAATACAGTGAGAATTTTAACAAGGAACTAGAAAATATAAAAAAGAACCAGTCAAAGGTGAAGAATACAATAACCAAAATGAAAAACACATTAGAAGGAGTTAACAGCAGACTAGATGATATATAAATATGCATAAGTGATCTGGAAGATAGATTAATGGAAATTACTCAATCAGGACAGCAAAAACAAGAGCAAATTTTTTAAAATATGAGAACACTTTAAAGGACCTCTGGCACAACATCAAGAATACCAACATTTATGTTATTTGGATCCCAGAAGGAGAAGAGAGGAGGAGAAAGATATCTAAAGTGTATTTGAGAAGTTGTGGTATATTTATACAATGGAATACTATTCAGCCATAAAAAAGAATAAAACCATGCCATTTGCAGCAACATGGATGGAACTAGGGATCGTCGTTCTAAGTGAAGTAAGCCAGAAAGAGAAAGAAAAATACCATATGATATCACTCATATGTGGAATCTTAAAAAAGAAAAAAAGACACTATGAACTCGTCTACAAAGCAAAAACAGACTCACAGACATAGTAAACAATCTTATGGTTACCAGGAAAAGGGGGTAAGAACGGATAAATTTGGGAGTTTGAGATTTGCAAATGTTAGCCACTATATATAAAAATAGATTTTAAAAAATTTTCTTCTGTATAGCACAGGGAACTATATTCAATATCTTGTAATAACTTTTAATGAAAAAGAATATGAAAATGAATATATGTATGTATATGCATGACTGGGACATTGTGTTGTACACCAAAAATTGACAAATTGTAACTGACTATACTTCAATCAATCAATCAATTAATTAAGTGTATTTGATGAAATAATGGCTAAAACATTCTGAGCCTGAAGAAGGAAACAGGTATCCAGGTACAGGAAGCACAGAGAGTCCCAAAGAAGATGAACCCAAAGATACCCATATCAATACATATCATAATTAAAATGGCAAAAGTTAAAGATACAGAATCTAAAGACAGCAAGAGAAAAAGAATCATATATAAGGGAACTTCCATAATGCTATCAGCTGATTTTTCTGCAGAAACTTTGCAGGCCAAAAGGGAATAGCATGATATATTTAAAATGCTGAAAGGGAAAAACCTACTATTTGGGATACTCTACCCAATTATTGGCAATATTATCATTAAGAATTGAAGGAGAGATAAAGAACTTCTCATATAAGTAAAAACTAAGAGTTCATCAATACTAAACTGACCCTAAAAGAAATGTTAAAATTCATCTCTAAATGGAAAAGAAAAGGCTAAAATAAGAAGTAAGAATCTATAGGAAAGGAAAAATCCCCCCAGTAAAGGCAAATATATATTGTAAAGGCTGTGGATCAACCACTTGAATAAGCTAGTATGAAGATTAAAAGACAAAACATTATAAATTCAACTGTAACTGTGAAGGGATAAATATGAAAGTGTAAAATATGACATCAAAAACACAAAACATGGGGGAGAGAAGTAAAAAAATGCAGCTCTTTTAGAATTTGTTTGAACTTAAATAAGTACCAGTTTAAAACAAGTTAATATAGTTACAGATTAGCATATATGAATCCCATTTGGTAACTACAAATTGAACACCTACAATATAGACACAAAAACCAGAGAAGTTACACATGCATACCACTAACAAAAATCATCAAGCCCTAAAGGAAGAGACTAAAAGAGGAAGAAAAGAACAGAAAAGAACTACCAAAACAACCAGAAAACATGTAACAAAATGGAAATAAATACAAAGCTATCAATAATCACTTTAAGTATCAATGGACTAAATGCTCCAATCAAAAGACATAGGGTAGCTCATTGCTGCTTACAAGAGACATGCTTCAGAACTAGACACACAGACTGAAAGTGAGAAGATGGAAAAGGATATTTCATACAAATAGAAACAAGAAAACAGGGGTACCAACACTCATATCAGACAAAATAGACTTTAAAACAAAGTCTATAACAAGAGACGAAGAAGGGTACTATATAGTGATAAAGGGATCAATGCAGGGAGAGGATATAACTCTCAATATATATGCACCTAATATAGAGAACACCTAAGTATATAAAGCAAATATTAACAAATATAAAGGGAGAATTTGACAATAATACAATAATAGTAGGTGACTTTTAACACCCCATTCACATCAATGGAGAAAACATCCACATAGAAAATCAGTAAGGAAACTATACTCTTAAATGGCACGCTGGACCACTGGACTTAATAGATATCTACAGGACATCTCATCCAAAATCAGCAGGATACACATTTTTTTCCAAGTGCATATAGAATGTTCTTCAGGCTAGATCACATGCCAGGCCACAAAACAAGTCTCAACAAATTTAAGAGGACAGAAATTCTATCAAGCATTTTTTTGTTTTCTGACTACAAAGGTATGACACTAGAAATCAATTACAGGAAGAAAAATGGGAAGAACACAAACATCTGGAGACTAAACAACATGAACAAAATTGATATGCCTTTAGTTAGGCTCATTAAGAAAAAAAAAGAGATAATCCAAATTCAGAAAATAAAAAATGAAAGAGGAGAAATAACAACCAATATCACAGAGATACAAAGAAATTATAAGAGAATACTGCAGTTATATGCCAACAAATTGGACAACCTAGGAGAAATGCATAAATTTCTCGAAACATATGACCTTCCAAGACTGAATCAGAAAAAAATATACAATCTGAACAGACCAATCACTAGTAGTGAAATTGAATTTGTAATAATGATAATTTAAAAAAAAATCAAACAAAAGTCCAGGACTGGATGGCTTCACAGGGGAATTCTACTAAACATATAAAGAAGAGTTAATATAAAACATGCCAAAAAAAAAAAAAAAAGAGCTAATAGCTATCCTTTTCAAACTATTCCAGAAAATTTGAAGAGGTAACACTCCCAAATTTATTCTACAAAGCCACCAGTACCCTGATATCAAAACCAGACAAAGACACTATCCAAAAAAAAAAAAAAAAAGGAAATTATAGGCCAATATCTCTGATGAATGTAAATGCAAAAATCCTCAACAAAACAGTGCCAAACAGAATTCCGTGAATGCAAGGATGGTTCAGTATCTGCAAATCAGTCAATGTGATACACCACATTAACAGAAGAAAGAATAAAAATCACATGATCATCTCAATAGACACAGAAAAAACATTTGACAAGTTCAACAACCATTTATGATCAAAATTCTCATCAAAGTTGACATAGAGGGACTGTATCTCAACATACTAAAGGCTATTTTTGAAAAACCCACAGCTAACATCATACTCAACAGTGAAAAGCTGAAAGTTTTTCCTCTAAAATCAGGAACAAGACAAGAATGCCCACTCTTGCCACTTCTATGTGGCTAGGATGCCTCGCCACAGCAATCAGACAAGAAAAGAAATAAAAGGCATCCAAATTGGAAAGGAAGAAGTATAACTGTCACTGTTGGCAGATGACATGATACTAAATAACCCTAAAGTCTCCACCAAAAAACTATTAGAACTGATGAATGAATTCAGTAAAGTTGCAGGATAATAATTAACTATAATAAATAATTAACTAATAATTAACTTTCAGAGAGAGAAAGTAAGAAAACTATCTCATTTAAAACTGTGTAAAAAAGAATAAATTTAATACCTATGGAATAAACTTAACCAAGGAGGTGAAAGACCTATACTCTGAAAACTATTAAACATTGATAGAGGAAATTGAAGATGATAGAAATGGAAAGATACCCTCTTTCATGGATTGGAAGAATTAATATTAAAATGTCCAACTGCCCACATCACTCTACAGATTTAATGTAGTCAATATCAAAAGCCATGGCATTTTTCAAAGAACAATCCTAAAATTTGTATAGAACCACAGAAGACCATGAATACCCAAAGCAAATTTGAAAGAAAAGAACAAAGCTGGAGGTGTCATTCTCCCTGACTTCAGACCATACTGCCAAGCTATAACAATCAAAATACGATACTGGCACAAAAATAGACACATAGAACAATGGAACAGAATTGATTCATTGATCTAAGGAGAACCCAGAAATACACCCACACAATTAATTGACAATCATTCATTGAGTCAGATTTCTTGATCTCTGTGCAGAAATTAACACTCATGTTTCAGTTTCCTCAAGCTAATTTCTGGGCCAGAAGGGCAGGGTAGTAGTGGCTGGTCACCATGTTATCACCATCCCCCCTAGAAACACAAACTGAGATTGCCATGATCCTGACGTAAGGGCTTTTGGCTTCTTTTGGGACTTGGACTCATAGCTGTGTTATCAGAATCTCTAGTCCACTTTTCAGCTGAGCTTCCAAAAGCCAGGGGCATAGTCTCTGAAGACACCTTTTAAACACAGACTCTGAGTAGAAGTTGGCAAACTACAGCCTGTGGGCCAAAGCTGCTTGGTGCCTATTTTTGTAAATAAGGTTTTATCAGAACACAGCCACTGTCATTCATTTATGTATTAGCTATTATCTATGACTGCTTTTATGCTACAACCACCGAGTTTTGGAGGTGCAACAGAGACCAGATGGTCTGCAAAGCCCGAAATATTTACTATTTGGCCTTTTACAGAAAAAGTTTGCCAACCCCTGGTTTAGATCAACACTTTCCAATAGAAATATAACGCAAACCACATATGAAATTTAAGATTTTCCAGTAGCCACATTTTAAAAAGTGAAAAGAAACAAATGAAATCCATTTTAATAATGTTTTATTTACCTGTGTCCCAACTATCATTTCAACAATCACTATTATATAATTAATTGTATTGTTAATGAGATCTTTTATGTACTTTTTCATGTACATCTTCAAAATCCAGTGTGTATTTAAACTGACAGCACAGCTCAGTTCAGACTAGCCGCATTCCAAGTGCTCAGTAGCCATGTACGGCTGGTGGATACTGCAGGGACAGTGCAGGTCTGCTTCAGACCCTCCAAAGAGTGAGACCTGCTCCAGATCTCGGTGCAGAGGTCAGCCTTGACAGGGCTTTAGGCTGTAGGGGAACTTGTTCAGTGGCTAACACTCAAGCCCTCAGGGATCTTTGCTCTTTCCCTCAGAAGACGGCCCAGCATAGAAAAGACAAGTTTACTTTTCCAGTTGCAAATTGTAGCAGCCTCCCTGGATGTGTGCTGAGTCTCTGCTTTTGGAATTCAGCATCCTCCAACCACCCTGCATGGATTATGGTGGCTCAGCTCTTCTAATTTTGGGTCCCTTCTTTTGGTGGTTAAAATCATCCACAAGGTGGATGTCAGAGTCGGCGTGATAAAGGCTAACCACTTCCTTTACCCCGCAGAGCTAGAGGAATGTCACATTGAAAGAAATGTATCCGCTGAATTTAGGCCTTGGGGAAACTCAGGTGAAACAGATCTTGTTTCTTGTTCCCCTGAACCTCTGCCTGAGGGCATATAGTCAGTGATGAGAATGTGTTTGAGTTTCATCTTTCCTGTGGTGGTTCTTCGGTTTCTTTCTTTCCTCCTTATATAGAGAGGTGTCTCACAAAATAAAATTTAAATGTGTATCCTTTTAATTACAGGTTCTTGTGGTTCTCCTAATCTTAGCTCAGAATTTAGCCACCTCTGTGCCCCAGAACACTTAACAGTCTTTTCTCCATCAGGGCCTTTATTCTGGTTAAATTTCTTATTTTGAAATCCTTGTGTTTTATAAGTTGGCCTCATGCCATTTATTCATGGCCTGTGGCGTCCTTTTCTACTGTGAGTGAACTTGGCTTAGTGAACATTTACTGAGTCGACATGTATTTACCGAGCACTGCTCTGTGCTAGGCAGTGTTCTCAGCCCTGGAGGCACGGTAGTGAAAAGATGGACAACCTCTGTCCATCAAGTGGGAGAGCAGACTCTTAGAAGCACAATCTGTACAAGGTGAGATGTGCAATGACCTGCATATGGATACCTGGAGAAGAGTCACCTGAAGGAGATAGGGAGGCAGGGAGAAGGAGAAGATGGGAGAACAGGGATACCTCATGTCCTCAGACTCAGTGCCAAGCAACCAACTCATGATCTGCTTTTGTTCCCACAGGCCAAAGCTCAGAAAGTCCTGCAGAAGCTGGGTGATGTGCAAGAAATATTTCACAAAAGGCAAATGAGTCTGATGAAACTGGCAGCCAGACAGACTCGCCCAGTGCAGCCCGTAGCCCCTCATCCTGAGTCCTCCCCAAAATGGGTGTCACCAAAAATCAGCCAGCCCTCTGCCTTGGGTAGGTTATTTGGGGAAGGAACTTTTGTGGCTTATGATTCACCAGCGCCCATGAGGGCTGAGATTATGGTGGTTTGTGTTATTTTGACAGATATTATTTAAGACAAACTACAGATATGAAATAGTACAGGTGTCGAAGACTTAGAGAGTTAGGTAAAACTGAGTGCCTGGATGCCAGGAGAAGCTCACAGTCTAGCAGAGGAATAATATAAATGCACAAATAACATTAGCATAAAATAAAGTCCATTAAGGACCTTTAAAAGGCCCACAAGAGTCTATTAGCAAAGTTGGTTCTTTGAAAACAGAAAAAAAAAAAAAGTCCTTACACCCATCCTACATGGTCTTGATTACTGCAGCTTGTTAGTAAGCCTTGAGATCGAGTAGTGTAAATTTTGCAACTTTGTTCTTTTCAAGATGGTTTTGGCTATAATATTAGTTCCTTTTCATTGCCATATAAATTTTAGAATCACCTTTCAATTTCTACTGGGGTTATGCATTGAATATATAGATCAATTTGGGAAGAATTTTGATCTCACCAATGTTGATCTTCCAATTCATAAATGTTATAACTCTCCATGTATTTAGGTCTTCTTTAATTTCCCTCAACAATGTAATAGTTTTGCATGTAAAGATCTTAGGCATTTCATTTTTTTAAAACTTATAATAAATGGAATTTACTATATATAACTATCAATAGGAGTATATTTCTGTATAGAAATACAATCATATCATCTGTGGATAGGGACAATTGTACTTTTTCTGTTTCAGTCTCTATGCTTCTTTCCCCTTACTTTATGATAATATCTGGGACCTCCAGTACAATGTTGAGCAGAGGTGGTGAGATCAGACATCCATGTGTTTTCCCTATGTGCAGGGAGAGAGTTCATTTTTCATCTTGAAGTATGATGTTAGCAGTAAGTTTTCCACAGGTGCCTTTTATCAAATTGAGGAAGTTCCCTTCTATTCCAGTTTGATAAGAGTTTTATCATGAATGATTACTGAATTTTTCAGATGTCCTATTTGGTGCATATATTGTGATGAATACATATTTTTTCTTTATTGATTAATATGGTGGATTACAATGATTTATTTTCAAATGCTGAGAACAATCATGCATTCCTGGGTAAACATTCTTGGACATGATGTATAATTTGTTGCTTCATGTATTTCGAAAGTCTGTTATTAAGCACATACATATTCATAATAGTTATGTCTTCCAGATATACAGGCCCTTTTATAATTATAAATATCTCTCCTTCCCTCCTTATCTTTAACAGTAGTTCTTGTCTTGAAGTCTATTTTGTTTGATATTAATACAGCCATTCCAGCTTTCTTATACTCAGTGTTTGCATGATATATTTTTTCCATTCTTCAATTTCTGTCTTTGTTTTTAAAATATATTTCTTGTAGGCAGCATATAATTGGATCTTCTGTTAATCTCTGCCTTCTAATTGGAGTGTTTATTCTATTTACATGCAATGTAATTATTGATATAGTTGGATTTAATGCTACTGTTGTGTTATTTATTTTCTACTTGTCTCATATGTTTCTTTATTCCTTTGATCCTCCTTTCTTGGATTCTTTTGGTTTAGCAAAATTTTTTCAGTATTCCATTTAAATTCATCTGCTGGCTTTTTAGCTTACATATCTCTTTGCATTGTTTTTCCCCAGATGTTTCTTCTAGGGATTATCATATGCATCCTTAATTTATTGCAATCATCTTTGAATTAACATTGTAGCACTTTATTTCAACACAGGAGATTTGCAGCAGTAGAATTCCACATACCCTTTACGCATCCTCTGTGCTATGCTTATCCTCAGTATTACATCTACATGTGTTTTATCCCCCAACAATATTGTTGTGTTATAATTTTTGCTTTAAACAATTGTATATCTTTTAAAGAAATTAAGAGAAAGGAAGAAAAAAAGAAAATGTGTATTATTTTATATTTAGCCTCCTAGTCACCATTTCTGGTGTTCTCTATTCCTTATCGTAGATCTGAATTATCATCCTGTGTTCTGTCTCTTCAGATTAATGGTCTTCCATTAACATTTCTTGTATTGCAGGTGGGTTTGCAGTAAGTTCTTTTAGTTTTTATTTATCTGGAAATTATGAGGTCTTTTTGGTAACTCTCCATTTAGTATAATTTACAGTCCCCTATCTCTCATCACATATTCCACTTTTTAGAATTAAGTCTTGATAACAGTTTAGTGAATTTCTTACCTGAATTTTTCCACACACACACATGCTCACACAAACACAAGCACACTCAGACACATTTATGTACACATATACCGCAGTTACACAGACATTCACACACACAGAGACATCCTTCTTGGATGGTTGGAAACAGGGTTTGATTCTCCTGACCTCTCATCCAGGGCTCATTCCCAAAACTAAATTATGCTCACTTCTATGACTTTACTTTTCTCACTATTTTAAGGGGCATGTTTGTTACAAGTAAATACAGCAGGAATGATAGGTTGTCTCTCAGCTTTTGAAACACAAGAATTCATAGTAGGTAATGACCTTCCTACAGGACAGATCTTTGAACAGGTATTGCTGACCTTGGTCAGGCAACTTGCTCATTTTGTGTAGCAATCTTGCACTTTTGTTTTGGAGACTAACCACTGAGTGTGGATTCAGGCAGGTCGCTAACAGGATTTTCAAACATGTTTGTTTAATTCCTTAGTAACTGAGACCATGCCAGGATAAACTATTGTATGTCACAGTGTAAGGAATGTGGTCAGGGCTGCTTAGAGATGGGAGTTAGAATCTCAGCTCTGACTCTTGGTAGCTGGGTGTCTTGGGTACAACATTCAACCTCTCTGAAGCACATAAGGAATGTGAAAAAGTTCCTTTGTGGCAATAATAATAGCTAAAATATACTGAGTGCTTTCCAAGATCTAAATACTTTATGCATATTAACTCATGAAATTCTCGTAACACCATATACTGTAGGCTTTTTCATTATTCCCCACTGTACAGATGAAGAAGCTAAGGCACAGAGATTACTTTGATAATGTGTGCTTCCTACATGGAAGAGCAGGACTTGAACGCTGTTGGCATTGCTCACACGCCCCTGCCTTTAACTTCATCACAGTACTTAACCAGGATTAAGGGCAGGTGCTTCTCAGTCATGGGTGTTGCCAATTAGTGTATGCATTTCTAGCTTCCTGTTATTATGCCTGGAATCTCAGCTTACAGAGATCCTGCAGAGGGTGAGAAGCCCAACAGATTGTCCATTGTTATAAAGTAGCTTTAGTGATCATATAACCTGGAACAGCAAACAGTGTGCTTCACAACTGATTTCAGCATAACATCCATGGAAACCCCACAGAAAGCTCGCGCTGCTTCCAGTTTGCTCACAGAACCTGACGGCTGGGAGGGGCCTCTGGAGGCAAGACAGTCAAGCTCCATCAAGTCTACCATAGATAAGAACCAAGTTCACGTTGGTGTCATTAGATAGATGACACTTTGACCATGGGACCTATATTTCTATCCTGTTCTGGGATAATAACATGTATCCTGTGAGTTTCCCAAAGGAACTGTGCCTGTGCATTCAAGGGTGGTAATGGTGACAAGTAAGAACTCAAAATACCACTTACTATTACCCTTGTAGCCCCATCCCCAGTGCAGCCCTCCGGTAAAACTGGGTTAGAAAGCTCTGAGCCTAACCAGGGCTTCTCCTCCCTAAATCCCAATCTTACTGCCAAATGGCCATGGATTTTGAAGAAGGGTATCTCCCAGGTGTCTGAGAGTCCTGTAGGAAGGAGAGGAGGGAGATAGAGTGACAGATGAGGGAGCAAGAGCAACACTGTCCAGTTCCCTCCAGACTCAGCTGATTCTTCACATAGTCATCCCATCCACTAAAAATGTGGTTCCATCAGTTCTGGAATCCAACTGTTAGATCATCAGATTAGCAATGATTTCTGCCCTTATGTAATCATAATGTGTTTAAGTAGTAAGATTTTAGTATTTTTCTAATTTCTGTAATAAGCACAAGTTAATTAGCTATATAATGGAAAAAATACATTCAATAAAAAGTGAACTGAATCTGGTCTTCCAATCCAAGAATAAGATCAAGTACAATATCACACATTGCAAATCATAAATGCTAAGCAGCAGTGCATAAAACAATCCATGAAGTTTGGAATAGTTAGAAGACTTCATAAAGAACATGAGCTTTTAGCTGGACCTTAAAAATGGGGATGATATTATATTTACCAATTTGTTGTGGTTTGATGTTTCATGTGATGTTGGGTATGACTTTTTTTCTCTTGAGATCAAATGTCAGATGCCTGGGGTCAAGGACTCTTTCTTTTCTGCCTCTTTCCTTCACCTCAAATTTCATCTACTACCTTGGAAATCACTGTAGCAGCTCTTAATTGAGCTTTACTAAGCAACTGCAGCAACATGGTTCAAGTCAGTCTAAGTGCTCTGAGTTATTTAAAAGCCAAGTAGCCAAATTAACGGCAGGTTTTCTTTGGCTCTCTAGCTCCTCATCGGAAAACATCTGAGGAACCTTATGCAGAAGCACATTTGAGCTCCCTGGGAAAGGAAGATGACGAGACTAAATTTGAAGTCAAGGTAAGATCACTTTTCCTTTACCAATAGAAATTTCTGACATGAGATTGCTGTCATAATTATCAATAAATCAATAAGTTGTGTTCCCCTATTTCATACCTACCATCTCCTCCTGAGGACATGCCCATAAAGGCACATAGCATAGATTAGTGCTCCCAAAAGCTGGAGTTTGTAGGATTTCTTCCTTTTCTTTCTTCTTAATTGCAACTAGAAATGAAAAGCTATTTGATCATGTACATTAATTGTTGGTAGATATTGTTCTATTGAGGGAACAGTCATTTTATTCATTCCTATAATCTGTCTTCAAAGTTGTTAGAACAGTATATGGTTTATATATGAAAAGACCATGACAAAATTGCATACGCTATACACATACACACACAGATATATAGTTGGTGAACTCGAATAAGCAAGTATAATGGTCAAGGTGGTAGAGGAAGCGGGGTAGGAACAGAGGCTGCCAAACTTTCTTATTTTGGCCAACAGTGGCTGGCCAGACTTCTGCTTCTAAAGCCCGAGGCTATGAGAAGACGAATGAGGAGAATCCACAGTCATGAACAATATGAGAAAGGGGCTTTGTGCACTAAATCTTGGACTTAGAAATCAACTTAGAATCAGTAAATGCAATTAGTGTTTCCCAAGGTAGGTAGTATAACCAGGGAAATCATCATTCCAAAATATGTAAGAAAACTTGTAAGAACAAGGTAGATTGGAAAAGGTTTGGATTCATTTCTGCGTGGTCCATGGGCCATTAAAAGGGAAACAAGGAGACTGATTAACATCAAGAACAATTATTGTTTCTTTTGTATTGGGGCTGCTGTCCAAGACAGATGACCAGGAAAGATAAGAGGACATGAATCTGACTCCAGGTGACAATTCTGACATCTTTTTGGCCTTAGGCCTCGAACTCAAACATGAAATGAGCCCACAGCCAGTCTAGGAGAGCGAATCATAACACAGTTCTAAATGCCCTCCCTGCCCTCAACAGTAAGTGTTCCCAGAAAGAAAAAGGAAAGCTATAACCCCAAACCATTCGTGATTGCTGCTGGAGTCACTGATACTCACGACCTGCAGTAAAATCATGGTACGATTTATCATCAGCAGAGAACTCATTCCCATAAAAAGGCGTTCCTCTTCTCTGGCAGGAAGATCTTTGCTGTGCCGGTTTGCAGGAACTGGACAAGTTCAACTTGAGGAGGTGGCCGGGATTCTCGGGGCGGGTTGGCAGCTGTGAGGGCATGTGCTTGGCTCGCTGAAGCTGCCTGGGAGAGCCTCAGCGGAGTCATTCCCTGCGGTTGCTGGCAGTTGTGATGTGGCTACTTTCTGCCCTTCACGTCACCAGTTAGAAGCAGAAAGCATGACTCCCTGGGGCTACGTTCCCGGGGCTGCTCACATCACAGCCTCTTCTTTGGAGCTGGAAAGAAGCCAAAGGCGGAGGAGGATTTCTTTTTCCTGAACGTCAACCCTCAGGAAAAAGGAAGAGCTGCTGTCCGTGAGCACCAGCAAACAGTGTTCCTGGGCACCTATTAAAGTCGTTTAAAATAGCAAAGTCCTTTTCAGGCTTCTGAGCAAACAGGCTCCCTCATAAAATTTATTTAAAAAACAAGAAAAGCCAAATGGAGAGGAGAGGGAAGGGATTCTAACACCGACTGACAGCCAGACCTTGTGCCACGTGCTGTGTGGACCTGATTTCATCACAAGTCCTCAGTACCTTGTGAGGAAGGTGTTGTTTTCCTTCTCAGCATCACAGATGCTGAGAGATTCTGAGAAACTTAAGTGAATTCCCCCAAGGCTCACACAACTAAGTAAATGATTGAATTGGAATTCGAAATTAGCAGTTTACTTACTCTAGCAGTTTACTTATTTATCAAACTTACCCTAGCTACCTGAATCACTCACTTAATCTACCTAATGAGCAGTTTACTTAACCTTTTATCCTCTAAATTTCCTCTTCTGCAAAGTGGAGATAAATAAAGTAACCTCACAGGTGGTTGATTAGATGAGAAATGTATGGAAAGCACCTAGCAATGATGCCTGACATATAGAAGGTTCGTAGTAATGTGAATTCTCCATTTAACCCTATGTTTACAGATAGAACATTCTATGTAAAAGATGGAAAGGAACTGAAGGAAGATCGGATTCAGGCCTTACATTAAATAGCTTCTCCTAATCTCAAATATGCATCTTTTTTTTTTTGCCAAATGATAACAGATTAGGGCCAAATTCAGTTCTTGGCTTTCTTACTCCTTTGAATTCCAAAAAATTTCATTTACCTTCCTGATCCTCATCAAGAGAACTGTGTGAACCATAAGCATGTCACTGTTTACTTCCTAAGATTTGAAGTCTAGTCATTCTTAGCGCTAATAAGAGATACAAAGGATCCATCAAATCCTTGTGACAGCCCCCAGCCAAGCTCTCTGAACAATTCCTAGAATAAAGAGTCTCAAGTTTCCCTGTGTACTGCAGCCCTGAGTTTATTCATAATGCAGATTCTCAGGCTCCACCCACAGAAATGCTGATTCAGGAGGTCTTCACTTATTATAAATGTAATAAAGCATTTTTCAAATTTGTGATTTTATATGAGTTAAGTAAGATTTACAGACAAGTGAAAATTAAGTTACATTGACAATTATACACCAAGGTTAAATCCCATGAAATCAGTCTGAAAAACTTCAGAATGTATGGGCAACTTCTTTTCAACATCCTTGGCATACTTATTTCCTTCTTATTTTCTTGGTTTGGGTATGGAAGAAAGGTATCTTGTGACATGTTCCTCACTTCCTGATATTTTTAACAGAACTACAGACTTGTGTATCATTGGTTAAACAATGTTGCAATATTTGCAGTTTTAAGGAGACATTTCCCCCATCAACAAATACTGTAAATAGTGTTTAGAGTATGAGTACAACCTATAAAAGCCAATTTAACCAGTAAGAACATTGAACTAATTACTAACAATTCTAGTTGGGAAATTCAAGATCTTAGATAAAAGAGACCCTGGAAAAGTTTTGTAGAGTTTGCATCTGGGACCCATTTCCTTATCTTTCTCTAATCATTTCCCATTTCCACAAAGCCTCAGGACCACTTTTGGCTATCTCTTCAAGCCTGCCCTTCCTCTTCAAAGGGCTTCAGTCTATAAAACATCCTAAAACCTTCCCCTCCCCTCCTTCTTGGAAGCCTCCTCCCAGTGCAGCTGTTCTGGACTAGAGGTAGGAGAAAATCTAAGTGAGCTAACTCGCAGCAACTCATGGCTGAGTGACTGACAGCCTGCTAGCTTTCCTGCAAACATCTGCCTTTTTTGAAAAGAGACTGGCTGCCCTATTATCCAAAGGAATCTTTAGGCACTGGCCTCTTCAGGCAATGCCTGTGAAGAGTAAAGTATTTGCTGGGTAGGGCCAGCGAGAGGGCACAAATAGGACAGACCAGCCAGCTAGGAATCCACTCACAGGATAGTTTCTCTAAGTGGTTCCTGTTTTTTAAGTCCTTTCGTTTCTTCACATCAGAACCCACGGCATCTCACAAATAAGAAGGGTGGGGCTTCCCCTTTCCTGGCAGTCCCAGAGGGGAAGGCCACTGCTTCTCATGGCTGATGTTCTCCACTCTGGGGCGGTGTCTCTGAGGCCACCCTGGACTGAGGCTGGAGGTGAATGCCCTTTGGAGAGGTTTCCTTTCCTTTCTTTCCCACTATCCTCCCCTAAGCCATGTCATTCTATAATCACTCAGTGATTCATATTTGTCATACCTCTTTTACTTTCCCAGGTTTTCACAATTAATTGACAAAGCCAGGAAAGTCTTAACCTTAAACACTTCTTGCAGTGTTCACTCTTCATACTTTAAATTAAGAGGGTATTTCAGCCCCTTATCTGCTTTACTTTCTCTTTCTCAGAATTAGGTCTAGCAGCTTCTCTTTTTAAGAAATGTGATAATGTAATAAATTGTACTTTCACGTTGTTACCGGATACCATCGCTTTAAAAGAGTTGGAGCTGAACTTGTTTTCCAAGCATTCCTAAAATCATAAAGGGAAATTACTTAACTTTAGGGAAAAACTAATTTGATTCCCTTTCAAATATTGCTGTCTATCTCTTGTTTGGGGAAGAAAAAATACAATGTTCATAATCAATCAAAAATTAGCTCTTGATACTTTTTAAAATGTAAGTTTTAAAATTATGTATTCTTGTGGGTATAGCTCAGTGGTAGAGTGCACACTTAGCATGTATGAGGTCCTGGGTTCAATCCCCAGTACCTCCATATAAATCAATCAATCAATCAATCAATCAATCTAATCATCTCCCCCCTAAACAAATTTAAAAATTTTAATTAAATAAATAATTTTAAAAGATGATATATTCTTCAGAGAAATTGAAATAAAATTTTTTTTACAAAATTCCTTCAGGCTAGGCATCTAGCCTGTTTTTTCAATTTTGAAAATATGTCTTTCTTCCAAATATAGGGGGGACAAAACAATCAGATTCTATGTTGTTGAGAAGACATGTGAAGCCATCATTGAAGGTGATCCTAGAAAACCTAGGTTGATGGGTTGGTGTCACTTTGAAGCCAGGGTGAGGTGAGGGCGCAGGGAGTGATGCTGGGCCTGAAGCAGCTACCAGCCTGCCTGCCTTCACTGCCACTCTTTTTCTTCAGAATAAAATGAACATACAGGGAGAGGGACTCTCCCACCTGATTGGCCTCCCAATAGAGTAGTTTATGGGTTGGTTCCCTTTTAAAGCACCAATTGGCTGAGAAAAATCTCTTCTTCAGGATGTCCTAGAAGTTTCTCCAAGTCAGGATAACTGAAGGGAAGCAGGATATGATTTTACATGAAACTTGTTGCTCTGCTTTAAAAGAATGTCATCTTATAATTCAATAAGACTCATAAGGAAACTCTAACAAAGAAATATTACAGCAATTGGTAGGTTGGTCTGTGGTCAGTTTTCTTGGTCCATTATTTGAATCAAAGGACCAGTATCTGAAAGAAAAAAAATAGCAAATATTTATTTGAATATGCTCTCTTCTTCCTAGAGTTTTCAGGAAGCTTAATTTAAAATTTTCTCAAAAGTACTCTGCTTACAATTTAGCTTTCACGTCATAATTGGAAGCAATAGCACCTATGTTGGTGTTTTATATTATAAGCAGAAGAACATTTCACAGCCAAATCACAGATTTCCCTTATTCTACACAAAAGAAAACAGATGTTCAAGGGAGATTAAGTGATTTGGCCAATATCTCTCAGCAAGTGAGAAATACGGGGTCTCTATTATGCATGAGCAGGTAGCAACTGCCCAGCAATTACTGAAGTTCAGCATGCTGAGTGCTTTACATAATTACCTATTTTAATCCCCACAAAGTAAATATTAAACCGCCAACCATCAGTGCCATTTATTAAGTCTCATCTTTGTGCTAAGCACTTTAATACATTATTTCTAATCACCACAGCAACCTTCTGACATAGATGTAATTACTCCTGTTATACAGCTAGAGAACTAAGTTGTTACCTGAGGCCACTTTTTACAAAGTAAGCCAGGGATTTCCACCTGTATTTACCTCTCACACTTCAATTTGTGTTCTTTTCACTCTATAATAGGTTTTTAAATTACAGGTCATAACAGTGATAGTGAACTCAGTTTGGTGGGTTCACCAGCATTTAAAAATAAATAAATAAATAAATAAATAAATAAATAAATAAATAGAGCAGGATGAAATGGGAGAGCATAATTTCAAAATAGGATGCATCACATCACAAAAATCACAAAACCACTTTTCAGTTACATGTACATCCGTTGTACGTTTTTTCCCATCACCACCAAACAATTAACTGAGTTCTGTACTGTCTATCTGCAGATAGCATCAGAATCCAAACATTGGGGGGTGGAGGGTGGGAAGGGATAGAATGGGATTTCAAAATTGTAGAATA